AGGGAGTCGCCTTATGTTATTAAACCGATAACCATCTTTCGGCTAACCTAGCCTCCTCCGTCCCTCGGGACCAACAAGGAGAAGTACAGGAATGTTAACCTGTTGTCCATCGACTACGCCTTTCGGCCTGATCTTAGGCCCTGACTAACCCTCTGTGGACGAACCTGGCGGAGGAATCCTTAGGTTTTCGGGGCATTGGATTCTCACCAATGTTTTCGTTACTCAAGCCGACATTCTCTCTTCCGCTTCGTCCAACCCTGCTCGCACGGGTACTTCTTTCTATGGCAGAACGCCCCCCTACCAATTCATTTTTACATCCCACAGCTTCGGCAGATCGTTTAACCCCGTTCATATTCGGCGCAAGAGTGCTCGATCAGTGAGCTATTACGCACTCTTTGAAGGGTGGTTGCTTCTCGATAAACCTCTTGATTGTCTCTGCACTCCTACCGCCTTTATCATTGAGCGACCATTTAGGGGCCTTAGCTGGTGATCTGGGTTGTTTCCCTCTCGACGATGAAGCTTATCCCCCATCGTCTCATTGGCTGACCTTGACCCGTCGGGGTCATATCTAGTATTCATAGTTTGCCTCGATTTGGTACCGTTCTCGTGGCCCGTGCCGAAACAGTGCTTTACCCCTAGATGTCCAGTCAACTTCTGTGCCTCAGTGTACTTCAGGGAGAACCAGCTAGCTCTGGGTTCAATTGGCATTTCACCGCTAACCACAACTCATCCGCTGATTTTTTAACATCAGTTGGTTCAGACCTCGACTTAGTTTCACCTAAGCTTCATCCTGGTCATGGATAGATCACCCAGGTTCGGGTCCATAAGCAGTGACAATAGCCCTATGAAGACTCGCTTTCGCTACGGCTCCGGTGGTTTCCCTTAACCAAGCCATTGCCTATGAGTCGCTGGATCATTCTTCAACAGGAACGCGGTCAGAGCCCTCAGTTCCTCCCACTGATTGGGAGCTTACGGTTTCATGTTCTATTTCACTCCCCGCCGGGGGTTCTTTTCACCTTTCCCTCATGGTACTACTTCACTATCGGTCACCCAGGAGTATTTAGCCTTGCAAGGTGGTCCTTGCTGATTCACATGGGATTTCACGTGCCCCATGCTACTCGGGTCAGAGCATAAGCTAGTGATGCTTTTGGCTACTGGACTTTCACCATCTAGGGTGCAACGTTCGACTGCTTCCCCTAGCAGCATGACACTTGTATTGCTCTCCCACGATCCAATTTTCACAGTTTAGGCTGCTCCCATTTCTCTCGCCGCTACTACGGGAATCGCTTTTGCTTTCTTTTCCTCTGGCTACTAAGATGTCTCAGTTCACCAGGTTGTCTCTTGCCTGATCGTGAATTCAGCAGCAGTTCGAAAGGTTGACCTATTCGGGAATCCTCGGATCTTTGCTTCTTTGCAACTCCCCGAAGCATTTCGTCGCTTAGTACGCCCTTCCTCGTCTCTGGGTGCCTAGGTATCCACCATAAGCCTTTCCTCGTTTGAACCTCGCCCTTCACTTCAACTCTATGCCATCCTAAGGTGCTGTTAGATGGAAGGATCTTATCAACGTCCATAAATGATAAATCATAACATAGCTTAAACTAAACTACCGAATCGGAAAAATAGAGTGCTATAAATTCTATCATATAGTTTTATATCATAAAAATTAACGAGTTGGAGATAAGAGGACTCAAACCACTGGCATCTTCCATAGGGTAAATCACCGCCTCTCAAGCCCCAACTGATTCTACCATAGAGGCCAACGATAGACAATAACCCTCCGAACACAGCTTACAACTTTCATCGTACTGTTCTCTCCAAAGTGCAATTCTTCTCAAAATATCAAAGGGTGTTGAGTTAGAATCCCATTCAAACAAGGATTCTTGTGGTTCCGGAGGATCCAGCTACAGGAGAACCGAGAACGAAGAGCTTCTCCCCCCTTTTTCGTCCGACTCTTTGCTCTTAAGAATGTAGGTTTTAAGTTAAGAATGAGTAATTGCACTTCTCCGACCCTTAACTGTTCAACCTGAGAACGCATTAGTTATCCCTTTTCAGGTTGAACAGGGTTCTATGGTCGGTCCGCGACCCCTGGATGCCGAAGGCGTCCTTGGGGTGATCTCGTAGTTCCTACGGGGTGGAGATGATGGGGTCGGTCCATGGATTTTCTTTCCTTTTGTTTTCCCGTGTTTCGCTCAAAGGGTTGAAGGGAGATAGTGCATCAAGTTGTTCGCAAGGGCCAGCTTGATCCTCTTCCCCAAGATTTCAGATGAGTAAACCCTAGGAGAGCCACCGACTCCAACTACCGTCCATGTATGATCCATACTAGATCTGACCAACTTCCCATCCTACCTCCTCTACGTTTTTGACAGCCCATCTTTGTCTCAGTAGAGTCTTTCAGTTGCATGTTTCGGTCCTCTTTCCCATTACTTAGAAAAAGTTAGCCACCGGTTCAGGTACAAGATACTATCATTACCACCTGGACAATTAGACATCCAACCCATAATCGCAACGACCCTATTGCAAGAGCGGAGCTCTACCAACTGAGTTATATCCCCCCGAGCCAAGTTGGAGCATGCATAAAGGAGTCAAATTCGTCTTTCTTTTATTCTTTTCCTTGGCGCAGCTGGGCCATCCTGGACTTGAACCAGAGACCTCACCCATGAAGTAAATCATCTCACCTACGGTCTATCCAATTGGGAGAGAATTAATAGATTCCTTTTCGGGAGAGATTCATCCTTCCCGAACGCAGCATATAACTACCCATTGTACTGCGCTCTCCAAGTGTGCTTGTTCCCCCTTCTTCCTTATCATGACAAGTCTTTGTGGAATAACTCTTATGAGAAGAAAAAAGAAGACGTTAAGGAACACTCTAAGATACTTTTTCAAACCTGCTCCCATTTTGAGTCAAGAGAATGGTACGATCCCGCCGTCACCCCAGAATAAAAGGGATGATCTCGTAGTTCTTGGTCTGTGAAGATACGTTGTTAGGTGCTCCGTTTTTCTTTTTCCATTGAGGCCAAACCTCAACCTGTGCTCGACAGATAGCTGTCCATATACTGATAAGGATGTATGAATTCTCGAGAGGAGAGGCGCCATGATGGTCCCCCCTGGACCACCCAGATCCCACGAGTGAATAGAAAGTTGGATCTACATTGGATCTCACCTAAATCTCCCTATCTATCCTCCTTAGGAGAAGTTTGGTTTCAAACCCTGGTTCAAACAGGAGAAGTACGCCATGCTAATGTGCCTTGGATGGTCCACATCTCAGGGTCAGGCGCCGATGAACACATTGAACTATCTATGTGGCTGATAGCCCTCACAGTCCAGGCACAACAATGCAATTATCAGGGGCACACTCTACCACTGAGCTAATAGCCCGTTGTGTGGGCCTTCTTGAGGGGCCCACTATGTCAAATGTGTCGGCCTCCCGGAGGGGCGGGGCCGCCTACAATGTCAAAAAAAGAAAGTGAGAGAAACTTCATCCCTCTCTTTCCCCCCCTTTTGCCTCATGTCGCCCCATCACTTTTCCCTCGAGCTCGTGAAACGAAAGAAGACTTCCATTAATTAACCTTGACTCGACCACCTTCGCTTCAGCGGTGTGCAACAGTATGAAACCCAATCACCCAAAAAGCGTGAGCTCTCCCAAGAGCTAGCTCAAGGCTTAGGTAGGTGTAACTTCACCATCAAGAAACGAAAAATAACGGCTATCTACCTATTTAATGAGATGTAGTTTACTTCTTTATTACTTTATTGGGGTGTGAAGCAGTGTAACAACTAATTACCCAAAAAACATTAGCTCTTCTTGAAAAGGAGGTGATCTAATCACACCTTCAAGTACGGCTACCTTGTTATGAATTCACTCCAATCATTATTTGTGCCTTCGGTATCCCCCTCCTTGCGGTTAAGGTAAGGACTTCGGACATGGCCAGCTTCCCTAGTGTGACGGGTGGTGTGTACAAGGCCCGGGAATGAATTCACCGTCGTATGGATGACCGATGATTACTAGCGATTTCGACTTCATGTAGGCGACTTGCAGCCTACAATCCGAACTGAGGACGGGTTTTTGAAGTTAGCTTACCCTTGCAGGGTCGAGATCCTTTATCCTGTCTATTGTAACACGTGTATCGCCCAGGGCCAAAGGGCATGATGACTTAACGTCATCCTCACCTTCCTCCAGCTTATCACCGGAATTCTGTTCAGAGTTCCAAACTAAACATTGGCAACTAAACACGAGGGTTGCGCTCGTTACGGGACTGAACCCAACACCTCACGACACGAGTTGACAAAATCCATGCACCACCTGTGTCCGTATTCCCGAAGGAACTCCTCTCTTTCAAGAGGATTCGCGGCATGTCATACCCTGGTAAGGTTCTTCTCTTTGCATCGAATTAAACCACATGCTCCATCGCTTGTGCGGGCCCCCGTCAATTACTTTGAGTTTCATTCTTGCGAACGTACTCCCCAGGCGGGATACTTAACGCATTAGCTACAGTGTTGCACAGGTCGATACGCACAGCCTCTTAGTATCCATCATTTACGGCTAGGATTACAGGGGTCTCTAATTCCATTTGCTCCCCTAGATTTCGTCTCTCAGTGCCAGTGTCAGCCCAGCAGAGTGCTTTCACCGTTGGTGTTACTTCCGATCTCTACGCATTTCATTGCTCCACCGGAAATTCCCTCTGCCCCTACCGTACTCTAGCTTGGTAGTTTTTACCGCCTGTCCAGGGTTGAGCCCTGGAATTTGACGGAGAACAGCCCCCTACAGACGCTTTACACCAAATCATTCTGGATAATGCTTGCATCCTCTGTCTTACCGCGGCTGCTGGCACAAAGTTAGTCGATGCTTATTCCCTGATACCGTCATTTTTCTTCTCCGAGAAAAAAGTTCATGACCCGTAGGCCTTCTACCTCCACGCGGCATTGCTCCGTCAGGCTTTCGCCCATTGCGGAATATTCCCCACTGCTGCCTCCCGTAGGAGTCTGGGCCTTGTCTCAGTCCCAGTATGGCTGATCATCCTCTCAGACCAGCTATTGATCATTGCCTTGGTAAGCTATTACCTCACCAACTAGCTAATCATATGCAAGCCCCTCCTTGGGTGGATTGCTCCTTTCGCTCCTCAGCCTACAGTGTATTAGCAGCCGTTTCCAGCTGTTGTCCCCCTCCCAAGGGCAGGTTCTTACGCGTTACTCACCCATCCGCCATTGGAAACACCACTTCCCATCCGACTTGCATGTGTAAAGCATTCCGCCAGTGTTCATCCTGAGCCAGGATCAAACTCTCCATGAGATTCCTAGTTGCATTCCTTATAACTTCCTTGTTTCTAGACAAAACTGATTCAGAATTTTATTTTCTTTGTTGATGCTGATGCTGAGAAGACATAACTTGTATCCATGGGCTTACTATTCGCCCGGAGTTACTTCCCAAAAATATAATACAGCCCTCTGCCCCCTTTTATCAACCCCCAGGCCTCTTATCCATTTTGGATTGAATCTTCTCATCAAAATCGAACAATTTATATTGAATCGAACAATTTATATTGGGTTTAGGGATAATCAGATTCGAACCGATGACTTCCACCACGTCAAGGTGACACTCTACCGCTGAGTTATACCCCTTCCCTTGGGTTTAGGGATAATCAGATTCGAACCAATGACTTCCACCATGTCAAGGTGACACTCTACCGCTGAGTTATACCCCCTCTCTTGCCCCTATCGAGAAAAAAGACTGCCTAATCCTACGTCAAAAAAATCAACGCGACTATTTTTGAAACTTAAACAAGGTCTTCTTTTCACACTCTTACATAGTTGTATATTGGAAAGAGGTTGATCTACTTCTTTATGATGATACAATCCTCTTGTTGCTTTTCTCCTCGGCCCACAGTGACAAAATGTAGGTAGTTCATCACGAAATAAATGACTCGTTGAACCGAGATCATTAACTAAACTAATAGATAATAATATAATCGTATACAATAGAAACTGTCTTTTCCATCTCCATATATTCTCTCTGGTTCCGTTTCTACTACACACTTTACACAATTAATCGTATCATAATAGATAGATATCTTTTTAACATAGGTCATCGAAAGGATCTCAACGACCCACCGAAGCAAGAAAGCCAGTATTTTTCACAAAATAGATTCCTATTCAAAGAGTGCATAACCGCATGGATAAGCTCACACTAACCCGTCAATTTAAGACCCAATTCGGTATTTTCTTTGGGAAATATTGGAAAGGAATTGGAATGTAATAATATTGATTCATACAGAAGAAAAGGTTTTCTATTGATATTGATTTAAACAATATACTTACGAGAAAGGCATATAGAAAGAGAAAAAACTGAAGATTTCATATAGTACTTTTGATCAAAAAAGAAATCTTATTTATTATGTACCTTCCTTACCTTTTCCTTTTGATGAATAAGAAAATGGGTCAGATCTTACAGGATGAAACGAAGGAATAGAAGTAAAAAAAAGAATTAGAAGATTACAAAACAACAAATTCAAACTTGATTGAAAAACATCTTTTCTGATTCTCGAAGAATCAGTTGTAAAAGGATTAATCGAGAAAGATTTATTCTTCTGATTTCTGATTATAAGATCATAACATAACCAGATCCACATATGTTTGGTAAAAGTAAAAATAATAAATTTCTCCTTTGAGAATAAAATAAAGGGAAAGTGTTTAATTGAAACATGAAAAAAACGTGACTTACTTAATTAGTTCTCGTTCATTTGGGGGAAGAAGTGGAGATTATCGAACGAGGAAAAGGATCTAATTACGTCGAAAGAATTGAACGAGGAGTCGTATGCGGTGAAAATCTCATGTACAATTCTGTAGAGTGGCAGTAAGAATGACTTATCTGTCAACTTTTCCACTATTACCCCTAAAAAACCAAACTCTGCGTTACGTAAAGTTTCCAGAGTACGCTTAACCTCTAGATTTGAAATCACTGCTTATATACCCGATATTGGCCATAATTTACAAGAACATTCTATAGTCTTAGTAAGAGGGGGAAGGGTTAAAGATTTACCTGGTGTGAGATATCACATTGTTCGAGGAACCCTAGATGTTGTTGCAGTAAAAGATCATCGACAAGGGCGTTTCAAATATGGAACCAAAAAGCCAAAATAA